TTTCTTGCAACGATTTACACCAGTTTACACCAGTTTACACCAGTTTAAACCAGAAAATAGCACTTAACAAGGCGTTTTAGCCACTAATTTCGGCGAATTTTAAAAAATCATTTACACGAGATTAAGAGCTTAATTTTGGGGATTATATTAAGAATAGTGTTGTTGAGAAATGCATTTATTTTCATTATGATATTTCAAAATTTAAAGCCCTTTAATTTTTTTTCTCGGAAACTGGAAGGAATTAAAATTTTAAAATATATGCATATTTTAGATATTATTGCCTAATATATTTTGTCAAAATTTTAGTTTTTTAAAAAAATTACTTTTTGAGATATCCTTTACCGAAAATTATAAGGGGGTGCTGTAATCACCTTAAGCAATATCTCTATTATTTACGATTGGAAAAGAAAATTATTCAATTAAAAATTGTTTGTAATATCATTCTCTGTAATTATTGTCTTATACGTGATTTCTCTAAAATGGACAGTAATGGAAAAATTTGAGAAAAAAGTGTAACATTTTAATTTTTCACTATATTTGTTGGCCATGAATATAAAAAAATGTTTCGAGTAAGATGTGTGTGTAAAATGTAAGTAGGTAGTTCATCCTCAAAATATTTACAGGGGTAATAAAATAGGTTGTACAAAATAACTAGAAAAAGCCTGTAATAACAGGAAAGTCATGTGTTGGACACATCAGATTTTTTAAATAAAAGGTTCGTGTATTGTAACAATTTTAAACCTAGGAGGGCAATTTTAAAAAATATTACCAAATATTTAATTTGTTTACAGAGTGATTAAAAAAATCATGATATAGTCCAACTCTACTTTTTCTCTGTATTGGCGATGTCGTTACAATCTTTTAGAATTTAGAGCTCTGTAAATATTTGTTTTGTGAATTATGCTACAAGAATATGAAGGTGTCTAAATAAAATTTTTAATTATGCTTACCTATGCATATGTTTAAATTATTATTTAGTATTTAAATAGAAAATGTCACTTTATTATTTTAAACTAAACATATTTCGTACTTCATACGGTTCTGTATCTGTATCTGTAACGTGTGGAGGGTGGGTTGCCCCCATGGCACTCACGCCTCATGAGGCCCATTGTGCATCCTCCTAAAATGATAGACATCTCCTATCTCGTGAGCCAGCCTACAGATTTAATGTAGTTGACAACGTCGCCAAGAGGTGCTTCTCTTATATCGGCTAGTGTTAGCCGATACTCGCCGAACACAAATCTTCTAATAAATGAGAGCGTCGAGCAATCATAAAGGATATGCTTGATGGTATCATCTTCTTGTTCGCACCCTCTGTAGAGTGCGGATTCTGACAGCCCCATGATATGAAGATGCTTCTGTACTTGGCAATGACCAGTCAAAATGCCTGTGACTAGGCGCATATTCTATCTAGTCATAGTCAAGTATTTGTTTCCTGCAGTGTTGTCAGGATAACTTAAGAGCTCCCTGGCAACTCTGCAGTTTCTTGCCTCATCCCATCTTTCTTTGAATTCCTCAAGGGAATTTTCTTTAATTAGGTCTGTCACTACCGATTTTGTCAGGCCAATAAAAGGGAGAGGTCCAAAAAGTATTTGGTTTGCTGCTTTCTTGAATTAGCAAGACGGTTATCTTTCGATGTGGCGTGACCTCTGATCCATCTTAAGGTGACCATATTGTTGATGAATACTTCGGCCAAAGCTTCGTGACATTCTAGTACTAACCCTGAATAAATTCGTGGTCTTTTCAGGGTGAGTAGTGCTTGTCTGCTATATGTATAAATGAGCATGTTCCTTCCAGTGATATTGTTTCTGGTTATTTTTTTTGCTGTTATGAGAATTTCCGTTAGCTCTGTTTGAACTGCACTGGCACTATTGCTCACAGCTCATTTTATGTTTAGGTTTAAGAATCTGGAGTATATTTCACATCCTAAGCCTTATTTTGTTTTAGAACCGTCGGTGTAGATATGAATCGTACCTGCCACTTCTGGCTCTTCTATTTGTTCTATTATAACTTTATATGGCTTATGGAAGATATATCTCGGTGAGATGGAGTCCATGTTTGCTTGAAGTAGTGGGAGCGTATCGAGAGCCTCCTGCCAAAAGTGACGCCTCGCTTCACCAGTTCCTACATCAGGTTCTATTCCAACCGTGCGGAGGCGTGTCATTATCGTCAGAGCAACCTCCTTGATGTAAATATCAAGGGGAGTAAGAATGACTTCCACCGCTCTGGTGGGTGTTGTTTTCATGGCTCCTGTTCTAGTTTACGGATAGCTGTTAAATTTTGGGTTTTCAGTATCCAGACAACTGCACCGTATGTTAGCATAGGTCTTATGATAGCCGTGTAAGTCCATGCGACGACTGTGGGGGAGAAACCCCAGGTGCGTCTGACGGTTCGGCGGCATTGTTCATAAGCAATATATGCTCTTTTAATTCTGTTTTCTAAATGCGAGTTCCATGTTAACTTGCTGTCAAAAGTGAGACCTAGGAAATTCACCTCTGTTGCAAAGTTTAGTTTTGTGTTTAAGAGTTATGGAGGTTTTAATTCCATTTTGAGCCTTTTCAAAAGCACCTTTTTATATCTATGAAAATACCCAAGGCGGACTCCTTATTGCCCAGGGATCTTTCTATCCGGCCATGAACTAGATGAAGGGCTAAATCTGCCTGGGGTGTACTTCATACGGTCTTCAATTATCCCATCCATTTGCCAAACCTCTTTGAATCTTGTTTAACCTAATCTTAAAAACGGAAACTTATCCTGACGTATGGAAAACTGCAAAAATTTGTCTAATTCATAAATCCGGTGATCGCTCTGCTATAGATAATTACAGACCGATAGCCATACTCTGTAACTATGGGAAAGTGTTTGAGATGATAATTTACGAAAACCATTAATTTTTAACTTTCATCACGGTTTTATGTCATAAAGATCGACTGTATCTAACTTGGCCTGTATAACACAGTATATATCAAACACATTTGACTCTGTCGGTCAAGTGGTTGTTATTTATACAGACATAAAAAAAGCTTTGGACCGAATCGATCACTATCATATATCATCAAAGCTCAAATATGTTGGTTTTTCGAATTCTTTTTTAAAGTTAATGGAGTCATATCTGCTAAATCGATACCAGTTTATAGAGTAAGGTGGCTTGAGGTCCAATAGATAGGTATATTTTATTATCAGGTGTTCCTCAATAGTCCAACCTGGGACCCTTATAATTCCTTGTTTTTATAAACAATATATCAAGCCAACTCTTGATACCACACTTACTTTTTAAAAATTTATATTGAAATCAAATTCACTAAAGATTGTTTCATAAGGCGAGTTCGGATAGTCAGGGGCTGGAGCGGGACAAATTTTAGGGTGCTTTTAAATGACATTTAAGCATGTTAAACTGTCACTAATCGGACTAAACCGAACGCTAAAAGGGTCGTTTGGAGTTAAAAGTGTTAAAGGAGTTAAAGGAACTTGGCAGACCGAACGCAATGTTAGTGCAAAATGCCTTAAGTACAATTTATAACTGGTGCCTTGATAATTATCTGGAGCTGAACTTAACTAAATGTAAAGTAATCTCATTTTATAGAAAACAAAATCCCATAATTTTTAATTACTCTCTTTTAACAATACCACTTTGGATAGATGTGTAACATTCAATAATTTAGGAATAGTCTTTGATAGCGAACTTAAATCATCTTGCAGAAATTGTTTCTTCTGCTTTTTGGATATTTTACAAGAAACTGGGGTAGCTTTTCAGATGTAAATATACTGCGACTTTTATATATCAGATTTATCAGAACTAAGATCGAATATGCGTCATTGATATGGTATCCAATATATCAGAATGCAATTATGTATATAGAATCTGTACAACGTAAATGCCTAAAGTCCATGTATTTTAAGTACAGTGACTTTTACCCTCATAGGGTACAGCTACATTACATACATTCAATTTGGAACCCCTAATTGACGGCTTTAACGTTTTTATACATGTTATAAAACAACAAAATAGATTGTAACTGTTAAACCAAGTAACGCTCTTGGTATCTCGAACTCAGGCAAGACACTCTTGCACATTTCATTGCGCTATACCAAGAACCAATGTGCTAATTAAATCACCAATTTACAACATGGGCCAACTCTTTAATAGTATTGGGCATGTATTATACAGAGTGAGTCGGAAGGAGCGCACCAAACTCTAAGAGTATATTATACACGTGAAAATAATGCAAAAAAACTAATATGTTCTTATCCGATTTTCATTTGTTTTCAAGTTATAGCATATTAACAAATAAACAGATTTACACATAAAAATTCTCTTAATCATAGCATATTCTAAATTTGAATAAGTATCTGGCATTTTGCAACACTAACAATCACATAAATTCGAAATTAAACGTTCAGTTACTGTTCACTGTATACTGACAGTTCATCAAAACGTCAGAATTATCAAATGTCTTTGAGCCTTGAACATATGGCATACTTTGATAATGTTAAAATTCAGAAGTGAAAAGCTAGATGAACATTTTTAATTACTTGAAAAAAAATAAAAATCGGATAAGAACATGTGAGTTTTTTTACATTATTTTCACGTGTATAATATACTCTTAGAGTTTGGTGCGCTCCTCCCGACTCACCCTGTATATTTCGACGATATAAAATCAATAATTAATTATTATAAGGAATCGTTGCTTTTGTTTGAGGTATCTATTAGTCTTTGATTTATTTATTTGATATTTTATTTATTTTTCTTGGGCACCTGTTTGTAACTGTTCCACTTATAGTTGTTTTTTCTTGTCTTTCCATTAGCTTTATTTAAAATGTATCTTTTATTTATTTATTTATATATTGTAGAATTGTAAGTATTTTCTCTGTAATTGGGTGTGAATCCGTTGAGAATAAATGATTATTATTATTATAAAAATCTACCCTCAAAAAGGATACTAGACAAAAGCTAAATCCTAACCTGTTAAAATACCGGTCATAATTATTTACAATTTGCATTTTAGTAAATGCACAAAACAATTTTATAACTATGAAGATTGTGTTTCTAAGTTTTCTTCTCTTCTATTTTTTAATAGGTGAGTGGTTTTTCTTTTAAGAATTTTGTTGTTATACTGTAAACCGATTTTCCAGCAGCAGAGACTAATAGGGCATTTGCTCAAAAAAGATTTTATTCAAATCGAGTGAAACGCGAGGCCTTAAGGTAAGTATAAATAATTTTAATTATAAAAGTCAGTTTAGGCAAATAAGACTGGAAGTTAAAATAATTTTTGTGTCGTGATAATAAAATACCGAGTGTCCGCATGAAAACCTACTGTGTGATAACTTACCCACTCTAACTAAATAGAACAGAGTTTCAAGTAATCCGGAAGATACTTTTGTTATATACGTATATATATTTTTTACGAATTGACGTCCAAGAAGGTAAAATGCTCAGGTGACCTCTGTGAAATTGGGGATAGTTATTGCTAGAGAGCGGAATATATGCAAAATGCATATATATGCATTTTTTGCATATTTTACCAAAGTTCAGAAAATAATGCATATTTTTCCAAAATTCAGAAAATATTGCATATTTTATCAAAGTTCAGAAAATTTAAAAAAATATTGCATATTCGAAAACAAAATGTATTACTATACTGTGCAAATCAAAAACTGTTTTAACAGATTATACAGATATATTTGAAATAAAGACTTTTAAATTTTTGTATTTGTTTTTAAGTGTCAGTTCTTGTAAATTCTTGTTAATTGGTTCTTGGAGGGTGGCATGCAGTGGGTTTTTACCTTCTTAAGAGATTAAACCCATTAAGGTAATTGGTAATAGATGGTATTTACACAGATAAAGTATTACCTACAATGCAATAAAACGGTTTATATAAAATTCTCAGTAATTTCTTGTAACCAATCTACCCTAACATCGGAATATTTTGAATGTTTTTCAGTTTAATGAGATAGTATCCTCGTTATTTGCCTAGTGAAAAGTCTTGTAATAATTTGTTGTTTTAAAAGTGTCCTAAAATGTCGAGAATTTCTTCGTGGATTATTAACTTTCCAGAGTTGGAAATCAATGGGGATAAAGTTTTTTGTAAAGCTTGTGCCAAAATAGTGGTTTGCGAAAAAAAGTTCAAAGTGGTTCAACACGTGAAAACATCATTGCATAAAGCCAAATTGCAAAAAATGAAATCACAACCGGTTCAACAATGCGTTGTGAGGTCATTTCAAAACGCCGACAAAACAAAAAGTGACAAGGAGGTATTTAATCAGGACTTGTGCAAAGCTCTTGTTGCGGCAAATATTCCATTAAAGAAGTTACAAAACCTACATCTATGAGAATTTTTACAAAAATATTGCAATCAAACCATTCCTGACGAATCTACACTCAGAAAAAAAAATGTACATGCTATATATATAAATGTAATAGAAGAAATTAAAGTTTTACTGGATGATAGCAATTTTTACATCATTGTTGATGAAAGCACAGATGCTTGTGGAAGATATATGGTACATCTTATGATTGGAACCTTAAAAGAAAATGAACCAGGTACATCATATTTAATTGCATCAAAACAGTTAGAAAAAACTAACAATACAACTGTTACCCGATTTATTCAACAATCTCTAGCAGAATTTTTTTTACCAAATCAAATTCCCTCAGAGAAGTTCTTAGTGTTTTTGTCTGACGCAGCACCATATATGATAAAAGTAGGGCAAAACTTAAAAATATTTTATCCAAATATGGTCCACGTTACTTGTCTTCTGCATGGAATAAACTTAGTTGCAGAAATTGTGAGAACAGAATATCCCTTGGTTAACAAGTTAATTTCGAATGTAAAAAAAAATATTTTTAAAAGCCCCTTTAAGAGTGCAGTTGTATAAAGAGAGAATGGTAGGGGTGTGTTTGCCCTCGGAACCCGTAATTACGCGATGGGGGACATGGATTAAAGCAGCTATATTCTATGCAGAAAATTTTGAAGCAATTAAGGATTTAATTTTGGATATAGAAGACAATTCACAATGTGTAGTGCAAAGTAAAGAATTGTTAAAAAATCCCCTTGTGCCTAAGCAACTTGTGTTTATAAAGGTTAATTTTAGTTTTTTACCTGATGTAATAACTTCATTGGAAAAGAAAAATTTAAGTTTAATCGAATCAACAAATTTTATTGCAACAGTTTCCGATAAATGTAACAATGTTCCTGGTGACATAGGCCTTAAGATTAGAAAAAAATTAAATACAACTTTATTAAAGAATGAAGGGTTCAATAAAATAAGGGAAGTGAAAAACATTTTTGAGGGAAAATTTTCCAAATAAGTTTTACGTTGGCCCTGTACATTACTTCCAAAATTACGGTATTGTCCTATTACTTCGGTAGATGTTGAAAGGACCTTTTCTATATCAAAACATATTTTTACAGACAGAAGACAAAAATTTTTAATAGAAAATTTCGAAAAATAATTTATTATAAATTCCTATTATAATATTACTATTTAATATTTTTATACTATTCTATACTTAACTTCTACTAGTTTTTGTGTTTCGTTTGTTTTAAATAAATTTTTATATTACATATTTTCTTTTGTTTTTTTTGTGTAATGGCTTTGATAGCGTACCAAATTAGGAACAGCAATGTTAATTAGAACCCAACAGTGAATGGTCAAGTGGAAATATTTGCTAGGCATCAGAATTAATTTTTAAATTAATTAATTTAAAAAATCGCGTCCCGGCTGGAATTTGAACCCGGGACCCCTAAGTCCTCAGGCCAACGCACTAACCACTGAGCTACCCACCCTCTACTTTTTTTTAAGTATTTTTAACAAATATGCATTTGCATATTTAGGCATAATTGGACAAAATAACTGCATATTTTTGGTAAAAACGATGCATATATGTATATGCGCATATTTTGTTATATTTTGATGCATATATTCCGCCCTCTAGTTATTGCAAATGTGGATCTAAAAGAATTGGGTAGTATGAGGACCAGGAAAAATTTGTTAGGGAAGAGGGTAACAAAGTCTGCTCTAGTTAAGTTTCGAAGGTGCGATCACAACTGTCAGTTCTAGATAGTCGAAGTTTGACGGATATAAATTATTTAAGTCGCTCTGATTGGTCTGGCTAGTTGTAGGATAAGAGAATATTTAGATACTTAATTTTAATCTAAAAATGTATACAACCTAATTCACAAACAATCTCTTAATGTATCTGTAAGTTACAGATCAGTAAACTATAACGAGTTAGGAGATTTTTACTAAGTGTTATTATGACTGACATTTAAAAATAGAAATTATTTACATGTTTGCTGTTGATTACACACATTTTTCTGGAGGAAAAATAAACTTTTCTATTTTAATTTTAATAATCACAATAACGATTCAGTGTGATTTAAAAATCTTATATTGATATTTTCTTTGTAAAATTAACTGAATTCGAAAACATTTTCTGTTTTGGAATATATATTCCTCCTGGTTCGCAACCAAATTTATACGAAACACTTTCTGAAATTATCGGAAACCTAAACCCAATTAGGTGATTGTAAACATTACAAACACAACAATTTTCTCTATTTTCGCTATATAGGGTGGACCGGATTTAATTTGCGTATACAGAGATCTCGTAAATCGTAAGATATACATTGTCGGTTAAATGGGGAAAAAGTTTCGTATTTTGACGGATAATACAATGGTCCGTAGAAGTTCCAGATTTTCTGATTGGTTCCGGAGATATTCGATAAAATCCGAAAAACCTCATTTTTGTTTTTTAAGTCGTGCGTTGTTATTATAAAAGATACAAAAAAAAATTATAAGAAGTTTTTGTTATAAATTAAGTTCGCTATAATCTACCATATCAAAATTTTTATTACGACGTCTTGTATTTGCAGGGCCACCTTCAACCTATTTTTTTTAAATACGAACCTGGATTTTTAACTGTAATTTTTCATAGCTTTTGTATAGCTAAATACAACGATATGTTACACTTTACCATTTTACTACGTTTCGTCTATGAAAATATCATCAGCTATGTAACTTCTGATGATACCGTTTCTTACTTGATTTAAACAAGATAGCTAATTAAATAATAATTAAAGAACAAAAAATGCTTAAAATGTGAAATTTTAAATATTATTTGAAACATAATACAAGAATCATTTAATTACAAAATGGGTTACACTTTTTTATCAAACATGATTAAGTACAACCAGCAAACAAAACTAATGAAGAACGAATTATGGTTATACACATTCTACAAATAATAAAGCTAATAACAAAAACATAAAATGAAAAACAAAACGGTCAAGCACACTATAAATTCCTATCACCTGATTTTCTGTAAAATCTTTCGCTTTCTCACACCGTATTTTTTTCTATCTTCTATTTTTGCATACATAAGATCTTAACAAAATCATGTTTTCCATGCATGTCAGTTGTAACTTGTCACCAATATTTCTGTTATAATCTGTAACATCTAATATTACACTACTTTTTTAGCTTTAAAAAATTTAAAATTAAATAAATATTATGGTTCGTTATACTGAAGAAGAGAAGAAAGAAATGTATGATGTGTACATAAGATGCTATAGGAATGAAACCCATTCAGCTCAGACTTATTTAGATTTATATCCTGATAGACAACAGCCATCTAAGAGGATGTTTTCTTATATTTCAAAAAATATGGCAGAGCATAGCAGTGTGAAAAAAAGGAGAACTAGATATCAGGTTCGACATACTGATAATGAAATTAATGTTCTTGCCCAAATACATATTAACCCTGAAAATTCTAATATAGTATTTTTAATACAAATCCCGATGCACGTCAGCAATGACGTCGGCCATTCGTCATAGTACTACCAACTAATTAAAATGTCCCCAATTAAGCTAATAATCCGAAAAAGTCACGTATAGTCACGAGCATTCGTGAACGTAGTCATATTACTAAAAAGTCGAAAACTGTTATGGTGATTATTTTGATAATTTTAGAATTATTTAAATTATTTAGTTTATACATGTCTAATTCTTGATAATATAAAATTTATAAAAACATTATTAAATGTTTAGTACTCAAAAAATAATACTTTACATTAAATAATTTTGACATTCTGTACGCCCATGAAGCTCGTATTTATAGAGATGAAATGTCATTACAGCAATTGGTACACCTTGTTGCGGTGTTGCAACCACTTTTTAACAAATTTCACTGATTTAGTTAGG